ATAAAATTAGTAGCATGCCCATGCATACATATTACTGCATTTACAGTTTTATAGGTAAGTCTGTCAGCCTAACTAGAATTTCATTTCACAGGAAGTCATTCATATCAGGCAGCTCCAATTTCAAATAATTCAATGGGAAATTGGTACTTAAAACTGGAATCTCTTCTGGCCATAAGCCCTAGCAAGGAAACAAGCAGAGGAAACATGCATCAGTCATTCTAGACCCAGAGCAAATACTGCTCTAATTTATTTTTACTATTGGTAGCTACATTTCTCTCATTGAGTCAAAAAAAAAAAAAAAAAAAAAGCAGAATACACAAGCACTTTTCATTTTATGAAGAGGTTATTACTTTCTATCTGTTCTACTTAATCTAATGTTGGCCTGAGCTCATTAAGGATCACAGGCTTCCTATTGAACTTCTGCTTACCCACTACATTTTTCAAATTAAATTAATAATTCAAAAACACAAAGTTTACTGTCAACAATCTAGTTTCCTTTTCTACATGTGATTTCCTGCTGTGCTCTGAGCAATATAAAAAATTAATTTAAATCTAAGTCTTCAGAAACTATTAAATGTTGACTCCCTACTCCTTTGTCTTAGGATTTTATAATTGCTGGAGGAAAACTGATTAACCCGTAGGTTAATTTAAATTTTCAATTGCATTAAGGAAAAGAACAACAGGAAAACTTTCTTTTGCAAAAAATTATATACCCATGCAATTGTGGTTTCTGTTAAAATCTGAAGACATTTAGGATTTTATTCTTTAACAACTTGGGCCTGTTTATGCAAATCATCTCAAAGACTTAAAATCTTAAAGTCTTGACTTTCTGTACCACTGAGATTTCTAAAGGAGTTCTGTCAATGCTAATTCTAAACAGGACCAATTTAGTGTCTTTTAATTTTAGACTTACCTTAATAAAATGGAGATAGTTTTTTTTTTTTCACATATGCCAATCCGTAGTGTCACTGGGCCCTTTGAAATGTTAACAGGAGACTTTCTCCTTAGTTCCAACTTCCATGCACACATAAGCACACTCACAAAACACACACACAGTGAAATCTCACTAACACTCGGTTGGAATTTATGGCAATTTTGTCACAGGTAAAATGTTCCTTTATTCTACTGTTAGAAGATACACATTTGATAAATAAGAATAATTTCAACAGGTTTTTAAAACATTAAGAAATCCATGCAAATGATGGATGCACTTGTAACCTGTGATTCAAAACTACTTTTAAGGATATCTGCTAAATTTACTTAGTGTGAAAATGTTCCTAAAAGTTCCAAAATTAGAATCTTTTAAACTATTCTAAATTTGAGCTATTCTCTAATTAGGTCCTATATGTTAGTTTATATATGACATAACTTGCTCTGTACTGCCCCTAACTATTGAAAGCGTGAGTGCTTTTTCTTTTGTCCTCCATAAAGTCTATACATCGATTATGGAGCACCTGTATACACATGCAAATGTGTGCACACACACACAAACACACACACACCCCACATCACATATTGATGAACACAATTTTTTCAACTAGGAATTCTGTGTCAAGTTAGGTCAAATTTGAAGCTGACTAAACTTGAAAATATTTTCCTAGAAAGTACTATAATGTTTTATTTCAAGGCAAATGGCTGCCTTATAAAATATACATTTGTTCCTTTCTTTTATATTTGAAGTCAGTTTTTATAAATCAAGAAATGCCCCACTGGACATTCTGACCAGAGTCGTCGTATCAAATCTGAATAATGTAAATTTTATGCTAATAAACTTAAAAAAATTATCTATTTAGAATGTTACTCTTCAACTGAAAATGCAGTTTGATAAGTTTTGAATGTTTCTCTTTGAAGCTGGGGACTGTCTTTTCCCAGTTTGTGTTCAAAATTTATGTTTTCCAGACTTTAAGACTACAAACAATTAAATTTTAAAACAGTCACTATGGTGACATTCTCTCTCCTTTTTCTGGCTTTCACTGCTGCTTGAACATAAAGTTCTTAGAGCAGCACAAATTTATTTTTCTGCCTTCTACGTAGGGGTTTGCAGAGATAAAAACTGAAAATTTAAGACACAGAGGTTAGAACATTAACTCTGAGTAAGACAACACTGGAAAGCAATTTCTGATTGGAAGCTCTTGCTTTTCCAGACATGAGGCATCTCTGCTGCACGGCCATTACATATATTGTTCATAAATGTGCAATCAATCTTCATTAAATCAGGTTAAATATGAATGCTGCTTTCCTGGATGTCGTCCCACAATGGTATTGAAAGCATACTAAAGAATTTATTTAAAATCACACTATGAACTTCACAAATACATAGTGGCTATTTTAAACTGACATCTTCTGAAAAAGAAAACGGTCTAAAAGAAAAGTTGAAAATATTTTCTCTAGTTACTACTGTCCAATCTAACTGCATAATTAATTATGCTGGGAAATAACTTCATTTTTAATGGTTTTGTTTATATAGCGCCTGAACATTGCCGTCAAGGCGCAATAAAACTCTAACACCAAAAATTTAAGTGCAACTTAAGTGATCAGAATTTTCATTAAAATCTAAAGTATGATTTTATTGTATTTATCCAGTCACACGGATTTGTTGAATCTATGTCATTTGAATATAAATACACATTTCTAAGAGAAATGGCTTTAAGGTATTAAATAACATTCAATTTTCCTCTTTTATTTTTATTTTCTTTCCTTTCTTTAAAAAATTAAAAATTAAATCAAGCTATTCGCTTTAGCTGTGGATACAAAAATTCTGCCTACTAATGCACATTATTTAAATGTTTGTGAATAAAGTGAAGAGTGTTTGGAAACTTTGCAATGCCAATTTTCTAATTTTTCGCAACAGAAAATGGCCTAGGAAGTTGTCTTTGATATGTAGGAGGTAGTATTTACCTCCCTAAATAAATGATTGCATATTATGGGTCTAATCTCACCATAATACATTACAGAATTTATTCTGGAAACTTCTGTGACAATTAATAAGGATTACAGAAGCTTATTCTCTGCATGCATCAGAACAAGGGTAAATTTGATTCTGTTAGGACCCGTAAATAACCAGCTTGTATCACTGTTTCTTACGTTAGGTGAATTTAAACTGCAGTAAGCTATGCGACATATTTTTCGGGTGAGCAACTGACAGTATAAATCAGTGGTTGACAAATCCAGCTCACTGTCTGCTTTTGTAAATAAAGATTTAATGGAACCAATTCATGCACATCAGTTTTATGCATTGTTTATAGCTGTTTTCATGCTACAATAGTAGGTTTGAGTTGTTGTGACAGTGATGGTGTCACCACAAATCCTAAAATATTTGCTCCCTGAACCTTTACAGAAAAAAATTGCCATTCTTTCATCTACATGGATAACTATATGATATCCATTTCAAATGCAATGTTCTGAAAGCTCCAGAATCAGAACTTACAAACTCAGTTCACAAGAGGACAAATACATGGCTTGGTTACCCATGTAATTATATACAATGTGAATTGTGTATTTAAGGAATGAAGTCCAAAACTTCATGAAGTCACGAACATCTATTCAAATGTCCCAGTTCTAACTTAATATATATATATATATATCTTGTAGTTGAACTGTTATGTATCAAAATAATAAATATTTAAACAAATAACAGTAACTATTTTATTCTAAATTACTTTTAACATAAAGAAATGCTAACATAAATAAATAATTGTTTAAACTAGCCCTGAATTACTTGTTCCTTAAGCAACATAAACAGAAGCCAGGATATCTCATTTGCTGTGAAATGTTCGCTTTTAATTTTCCTACTTGGTGCTTTCTTTTTAAAATGCCTCAGTGCAAACTGTTTGGTTAATGAAGAAAAACATCTGAACTCCTTTTATTATGTTTATTTGTGACAAATAACACATCTGAATCAAAATTAACTTACCATCATTTCAAGTGCATATCGGTTACAGCTTAGCAACACCCTTTTCAGGATGTGGTCATTGTTTAAAGAAGATGGACTGTTCAGTAGAATGATTTTTATTTTATCAATAAAAGTGAGACTTTGAAATGCCTTTATTATCATTTCACTGCTTGATATTGACTATCAATTTGTATCACATCATTCAATATCAATTCCAGAAACATCCGGAGCCTCACACACCTATTAGTCTCTCAGAGCCAAGTAGTCGCGAACAGAGGAGGTAATACAACTGCTTTTGTTAATGTTCTCATGCGACAGGCAGAGGCAGTCAATATTAGACCTGGTAAGACACATCTAGCTCTAGGTGGAATCTGAGGGGAGATGCAGCAACAAGAAAGCAGCACCAACTGAGCATGCTCCTATTCAGGCAGAGACAGAAAGGGAGTGGACGTACTGTAGAAGCTGGCCATTACGTAGTTTTGGCAGCGATCACCAGTAAACTCATTTGGGCACCTGAGAGAAGAAACAAAAAAACAATGGTAGAAAAAACAGAGAAAAAGAGAAGAGGTGAATATATGCTAGAAAGAAGCTCCTCAGTGTCATTTGACTGAAACTTGGTGGGTTCACCCTCAGGAACTGAATCTTTGCCCTGATCATGGCTTTCAGGCTCTGGCACTTCCCCCAAATGGTTGAAAATTTGGACAGAATGCAGTTCTTAAGTTGGTATGATGGAAAGACCGCAGCATTTTAAGTGGTTGCCTTCTTTCAAAGGGAACCATTTAAAATGAAACCTGATGTTGTATTCATGTCAGTTTTCCATTTGATGACTTTGGTCATATATGCGGGAGAAAATGTTCTTGGTTGGCTTGCCTGCAATGGTTTGTCAGCATCATGGGCCATTGTGACTGGCCATTCTTATAAATTGATGACTTAGGGACCCATTTTGAGAGAGTTACATAAGGTAATATTGGAGGGGTTTATGCCTTGAGTGGTTAAGCCATAATTAGAACAAAATGAATCAGTTACAACTGAGCTGTAAAAGCACCAAGCAGTAGTGATTGTTGCTGTAGTTTGGGGAGAAAGCAAATTTCAGATTATTTTAACATACTTTCTTGGTTTTGGACTTTCATGGGCACATTCTCAGTACATCTTGCTCCAGTGAATCCAGGTTGGCACCTAGAGGGCAAAAATGTGGTAAGCAAAAAAATGCTAAAGACACTGAGCTTTCAGACTGGCAATTTTCCTCCTATGGAATATGGAGATTCCTAAAAATGATCTGGTACCGAGCAACATAAAGAAAAGAAAAGACACAACATTTAGAAACCATGTCCCACGAAAACTGTGGGTTACAGATTTTGCTGTTGTTTGCTTCAGTCCTCAAATGATAGGTTAACTGAAATTTAACTAGAGTGAAGCTGAAATGTGGAATAAGAGGCGGCACGGCCTGGAGAGCTATCAATTTCCCTTTGGCATGACCCTATTTGCCACGGATCAGTGATTCTCACTATGTTAAAACACTGGTTTTGTTAAGCACTAACATGATTTCATCCCTGTCTCTTATCAATAAATGACCTTGAACTTTTTCTTTCATATACGTATTTCAATTTTGTATTTATTTCATAAGGGTTTTATGTTGTACGTCATCAAATGACAGAATTCAATTACTTTCACACTATTATGATTACTGACAAGAAAAAGTGCATTCCCTGTTTTTTTAAAAAAGATATTACAAATAAACTCTTGTTTTTAATGTTCAAAGATACTGGAAACAGATTGTTATCAAGACAGATTTCACCTAATTGCATTATCCCAAATCAAAGACAAATACATTTTAAAATTCAGATCAGTTATTCTCAGGCAGAAGTACTTAACACATGTCATTTTGCATTTAAGGTAAAACTATTTTAAAAACTGTATGAAATTTAAATGTTATTCCCTCACATATATTTACCTATCAAAATTCTAGAATCTTGATACAATATTAAGGTCTTAAGCAATGGGGCTGTGCTTGAATATGGAAGTTCTTTATAATTGCTGTTTTTTTGGTAGCTGTTAACTCTAATACCTAAAACATTTTAAATAGCATTGATTTTTAAAATATCGTCCTCTAATAAAAAGGGTCACTAAAGGTTCTAGGAAGCTATATACTTACAGATAAAAAGATGATCATTTTGAATCCTCAACATCCATAGTCCTAATTATTATTAATGGTTCATCTATACAGTAATCTTCATGCAAAGAGCCTATCTGAGTTAGCTCTGGTAGCTCATACCTAGCGATTTTTACACAACCCTATTCTCTACAGAGTAAATAAGAATATATACTATATTTCTGGCATCAAAGAGATATGAACAAAACTATTCATTGTTACCAATATCAGGGTAATTTCATTTCCCTTCAAGCCATATTACCAAGTGACTTGGTATATGTAATTTTCTTATTTTATGAAAATGGCCTGCAAGATAAAATACTAGTAGTTCCAGATTTTTGGCTTTGTGAGTACTTGTTTAAGCTTAAATGGCAAACATCTTATATTGATATTGCTCCTTTAAACTCTTGGAAACACCTTCATATAAATGAACGGATGATTTTTGCTTAGAATATTTTTGTTGCAGGGAATAGAGGAATAGCTACCTAGAAAAATATGTCAATAAAAAGTATAAGGTGTGAGATTGGGTTATTTCTCAAAAAGACACCATTTCTCATACTTCAATAAGAACATTTTCATGTTCTTATATAAATAATTTTAAAATATAACCTATTTGACAAAATAATGTCTGAAGTAAATGGGGTTTTTATTTGTTTCTCTACCAGGAATGTAAGTTCATATAGACATACCCTATAATTAACGCAGGTGATTCCAGAAGTAATGATGTATTCAATAATTATCATTTAGTCTTGCTTCTTTGCATTCTTGATAAAAGTTAAAATTCTCACATTGAACACACAATAATCTACTTGTTTCTCACAAAAGAACATGGTGTAAGATATGTGAACACTTTGTCTGTGTGTAGGACACACACACTACACAATTGCCATGGCAGAAAATGCCCTTATGTGAGTAAGAATCATGAAATTAACAAATAGCTGACAAATCATGAGTTCCTTAAGAGAAAGGAGGCTTTATAAGTAAATCGTCATTATGTATCTTATAAACAGTTCTGTGATCAGAGGGCACAGGACAACTAGGTAAAGGTAGTCAGAAATCCTACCAATCTATTTTGTAATTATTATGAACTTCTAACATGATGTTTCCTAGGAAACTAACATGAGATGATGGCTTATCTCTATCATAAAATCACATGGAATACTGGGCGCAGTAACACTAGAACTACTTGAGGTATGCAAGTAAGTTTTTAGAATTGCCAGCTATTTCTCAACCAGAACTATCCTTTTGTTAGTGTCTATCTTCATTTGGGAGATGAATTTTCTCAGCATTGTTTCTTAGTGTATAAGACGCTGTTATTACTCAGAACCAGCAGCATCAGCATCTCTTAGGAACATGCTAGCACATCCTGCAACTACTGAATAAGAATCTTCATTTTAACAGATCCCTAAGAGATTTGGATGTAGATTAAAGTCCAAGACCTAAGGTTCTCTGAACTGGGAAGAGGGAGACAAAGGCCCTCTCTCTTGTCACTGTGGTATCTTGCTGTTTGGACATGGACAAGCTCTTTGGCTTTACTGGGCCTCCTTTTTCTCAGTGATAAAATGAAGAAATGTAATTAAGTGAGTATCAAAGACCTCTTTTTCTACTAAGGTTCTGGGAAACCATACTTATCCTAACACATGGAATCACTGTTAGAAAGCCCTGACAGCATATCTTCTGAATGTATTACCAGTCAGGGACGATAGAACTCGAGGACTTCTAAAAATCCTTTTAGATAAAATGGATTTTAAGACAATCGTTGAGGTAAAACAAATTGCAAGTGCCGAAGCAACTCAAGTGATCAGCAACAAAAGGATGTACCCTTCACAGACATTTAAATTTGTTGCCAAATGGGATGGATGGGAACAGCGGAAACTGAGATAGCTTCTGCATAAGCAAACTGCACACTGAATTGATTGTGTAGAGAAAACCTATGCAAATGAAAACCCAGCGGATCTAAAACGTCTGTGAAATTCTATGGAATTACTTCTAACAGGCTAGGGAGACTATTTGGCTTCTGATACATTTCTATTATTAACATTGCATGTTAAGCACCCAATCCATCACTTTCCTGAAGATAAGAGTAACAGTAAATCAAACCTGATTTTGAACAATAAGCTTTGGCATAGGATTGAGCAAATTCCAAGAATTTTATGTCTTAGAATAATCTAAGGATCTGAATAATAAGTACTTGTTGTAGCTTTAAATATATATATGTGTGTGTATACATATATAGACATACATAAGTATACATATACACCATTTGTTTCATTAATCAGGTTAGAAGGTAGAAATCAGGGTTTTTAAAAATTTTAGTATTTGCTCTTAACATGATCATGTTTGTTCTATATTTGTTATTAATGGGGTGAAAATTTACAGTTTTGTCTGAACTTGGGCATCACTCTTTCCCTGCCTCCCACCTCCCCATCACCCACTTCTATGCTCTGGGGAGAATTCCTTGACTCTTGGCTTGGCTCCTGCACTGCAACCTATCCTGATCTCTTTCACTGCACTTATCTGTATTGTGATGATCTGTGACACACTGATCACATTCTGTCAGACAGTGATCACATTCTGATCATTTTGTATCTCTAATGCCTAGCACAGTACCTGATCCATAAAGGACTCTCACAAAATGTCTGTGAAAATGAACTTAAGATCAGACCACAGTATCCACATCTGATCAAGAATTGTATCAAAAGATACTTTCAGGCAGGCATGGTGGCTCAAGCCTGTAATTCCAGCATTTTGGGAGGCTGAGGCTGATAGCTTACTTGAGGTCAGGAGTTTGGGACCAGCCTGGCCAACATGGTGAAACCCCATCTCTACCAAAATACAAAAATTAGCTGGGCATGGTGATGGTCGCCTATAATGCCAGCTACTTGGGAGGCTGAGGCAGGAGAATCACTTGAACACTAGAGGCAGAGGATGCAGTGAACCGAGATTGCGCCACTGCATACAGCCTGGACAACAGACTCCACCTCAAAAAAAAAAAAAAATTCATATGGTCAATTGATTTGCCAAGTACAGGTCAATCTTGAATATGTATCTGTCATTTTTATAATTTTATTTATTTATTTAGATGGAGTCTTTCTCTGCTGCCCAGGCTGTAGTTCAGTGGCACAATCTCGGTTCACTGTAACTCTGCCTCCCAGGTTCAAGTGATTCTCCTGCCTCAGTCTCCTGAGTAGCTGAAATTACAGATGTGCACCACCACACCTGGCTAACTTTTGTATTTTTAATAGAGATGGGGTTTCCCCATGTTGGCTGGGCTGGTCTTGAACTCCTGACCTCAGATAATCCACAAACCTTGGCTTTCCAAAGTGCTGGGATTACAGGTGTTAGCCACCATGCCTGGCCTCAAATAATTTTTACAGAAACTCCCAGTATCCTTCTCACATATTTTCTCCCTCCAATAAAACTCTTTAACATTGTGTTTGCGATTTGGAAAAGTTCCTACGATTCTTTAAAAGTAAGTCTGTTATCTTGAATTTAAATACTGTTAGTGAAATATCAGTTTACTTAGGATTCAATAAAGCAGTGCATTCTACTAACCAAACTTCTGCCCAGTACCAGTATAATAAAAACTGGTTAATAATAACTTCAATACACTGTTAATATCCTGATATGCTTACTATGCAATCAATCATAGATGCACATATTTTGAAATCAATTTAATGCTTGGTGTATCCTGTATATTCCAATTGAATAAATTATTTCCCTTTTTTTGGTGGAGATTCTAAACATATTCAAAGATATTCATGGATCCCAAGAAACTTCTGGTTAGGGTTGGCTAATTTTATAAACTACGTATTTAGGGTCAATTTATAAACCATCCTTAGATATCCTTTCTCTTCCTTCATTTCTCAGCTTCACTTTCATCAAATTCTCCCTTGATCAGGAAGGAGAAGAAAAAAAAATACAGCGGATACAACCTCTCCATCTAGTCATCACTCTGCCGTGAAATATTTGGACAATTTAAAGAATACCTTGTCAAAAAATTAAAAGTCCTATCTGTTCTTCCTCA